CCCTGCTAAGAGAAGTTGCCTTTTCAAAAGATCTACAGCTACCTGACAGAGAAGTGTCGTCAGCGAACAGCATTATATTGCAGTGTGAGCTCATGAAACAAGCGAGGTCGTTGATATAGATTAAAAAGAGAACAGGACCTAGTACTGACCCTTGGGGCACTCCGTGTAGCATTGTCGTTGACTCTGATTTGGTGTTAACAAAAGGGGCCAAGAGAAATCGCTGGAAATTATTTTCAAGTTTCTAGCTTCGCCGCCAGAGGGCGTACGATTCATAGTTAAGTAGAAAAATGACATTTTTTCTAAAATATACCCAACAAACTAGCTCATAAAGTATAATGGGCGTAGGAAGGGGAACATCTCTCTGAATTGAATGTAACTTCGGTTTAAGTTAACAGATTTTCACATAATACGTTTTGTTGGAAAGAGCTCTCTTCATGGAATCAGATTTTATGAATAGAGTCTTTTTAGTAAATGTGATGAGTGGTAGAGGGCATTGCGCAATACAACATTTTGAAAACGTCGTTAATTTTACTTATATTCGTAGTGTTCAAATACAAAGTTTCATTTAAATATCTTCATAAATAAAAAAGTTAGCATAGCACATGCGTTAAACCAAATTTTTGACACTGCGCATGCGCAAAACCAAAAAATATGCACGGAATCCTTGGACCAACCCCTTTCAAATGAGCCCTATATCGCCCCAATCGGTTCAGTGTGACGGACGGACGGACGACAAAGTGCAGCCAATAGCGATTTTTCACTTTGAGGAAAATACGCTAAAAAGAAACGAATTTTTCAGAAAAAACTGAAACAAAATGATCTTTTAAATTTGTGAAGAGTTTGCACATTATTATGAAAAATGATTCTAATTATCCGCATAACTAATTAAGTTCAAATTATCTCAAAAGAACGCTAACGCTTGGTTTGACAGATGTTATTCATTACAATTTCTATTTGTTTTGTTCATGGCAATCATGATTTGTATAAAAAATATTTTTTAAGGAAAATGTAAATAACTTGAACTTTAAATTTTAGGTATAGGACAATGTAATGTCAATCGAAAGAAAATTTTGTTTTGAATTAATATCTGAAATAAAAACAAGTTAAAAAGGTCATTATGCAAACATAAATGACGAGAGCGTATTTTCCTCCTAATAATATTAGTGCTAGGACCGGCAAAAATACCGGTAGGCACGAGATCCTTACCCCATTCTCTTTCAAATGAGCCGCCTATCGTCGAAGTCTATATTTAATGAAAGATAGTGGAGCATATACAAATACGAACAAATTTTGAAATGGGCATTAGTTTTACTTTTATTCAAAGTGTCTACATATGAAACTTTTTTTAAATGCTTTCGTAAATAGCATTACGCATTGTCTACATGTCATTGAATACCTTCATAAATAAAACATACAGCATGGACGCAACCGATCTCTCCGGCTCGCTGTGTCGTTCGCTATTTTATAGGAGGCCAGAATGAAACCAACGAAATTCTTGAGATCGGCGTCCCTTTTATACCAATGGTAGATCCGCATCTTTTGTTTACACTTAAATGGAACCGATGATCATCCTTCCTGTTGCGTTGGCAAAAATGCACATTTTTTTGTCAACCTTCCGTGACACGCTCTTGCAGTACGAGACATGGCCTGTCCCTTTGGACGGATCGATGTGATGCAGCACTTTGAAATTTACTCTTTTCATTTTGAGGAATTAGTTAATTCTGCATAACAGATTCGATGGTAAATTGGGTTTTTGTTCAGAATTTTATCATCTGATGTCTTTTGAAAATCGTTATATAAATTTTTGGAACTAAGTTATGCATGAGTTGTTAATGATTATAGCTCTGACACCTTCCATTGCACCTGCATAACCGTCACCAAAATGGTATATTGCGTCAGCATTATTATATAAGCACAAAATTTTAGATTAACCGCAAGTAACAGCACAAAATAAGCACGAAGGAATGGCTTATGTGAAACCGAAAACTGTTTACGACATTAAGCTATTGGGCCCAAACGGCGCATCCTAAAATAAGAAATGTATATCGACTTACTTTCATTTAATACTGTAACGTAAATTTCATTACGTGATTTATCTATTTACAATTAATTAACGGTCTTGAAATGAATTGATTTATAACAGTTAAAATGATATGGATCACTCACATATGCACAATTTATAACAGCGCGAACTATTTATTACTTCGGCGTTGAAATTGGAACTGTCCTCAAACGCAATTCGGTTTGCTGCAAACGCGAGTATTCTCGACTGCATCCGAAGGTTCTCGAATGTTCTAGAACGAAACATATTTCCCGGAAAAATTGCGTCACATCCGGCTCCGTTCTTTATTGCCGATGAATAATCTTTGATGGCGCCTTGATGTCTATTGGGATTTCTGGAATATTCGCGACAATGCATTTTTTGATAGTCAATATTTTCATTCCGTATACCAGATATCTAAATTAAAAAAACGTTAGATACATGCTGTACTAGCCGACCCGAATCGATCCATTGATCGCACACTGGGACGATTTTCGAATTGCACCCGCCTACATTTACTTCATCTTCACAAAGAATCAAATTGATACGCGGACGACTGTTCTACCCTGGCTCATTGGATCTTAAATATAATACTGGAAAGGTTCAACAGAATTAATAATTGCAAATTTAAAGAAAAATGTCACGTGAGAATAATAAAATGTGCAAAGTGCGCTTAAAAGGATATAAAAAGCATTTACCTGTGAATTTAGGTCGTCATCAGACTTCTGACTCAAAGGACTTTCTTCGGAAGCTGCCAATATGTAACTGTCCTTTAGACAAAATAGGAACACGACAGCCCATACTAAACTTCCTGCACTTGCTGATACCACATAGCGCATTATTGCTGCAAAAGAAAAAAAATTGTTAATGTTGTGATTAATTATTATTCTGCGTGTGAAATTTACAACTAATTTCTTTTCCAAACACTCGTCTAGTATCTACCATAAATACGATATATTGACATTCCACCAGTAAATATTGACATTATTTTACATTTTTTACGGACAAAGTGTTTGTGCATAAATTCGAAAAGCTTGAAATTCCAAATGGTGGAATAACATTCCCAAGTGTCATGACGTAAAAAACCTAATTTAGTTTACATGTTGCTACTGACTTCTTAATCAGAGTGTGACATACGTTTTCATATTGTGGCATGTATGTAGACAAACAGATTATATTTGCACACTATTCAGGAGACAGGAAATATCTGTTTTGATTTTACATAAAACATTTGTGGCAACGAATTCAATTGTAGGTTCCAGTTTTAACATTGTTAAATGTAGTTTAATAATGCAAAATAGAAAATACGACCCCCTGTACAACGATTATGTTACAATTAGGTACACAATTTTATCTTCTTCGGTGCCGCATTTTTATTAGTTGACGTTTTTCGCGTCTAATTGCTAGGAAACAGATTTTCATTACCTAAACAACCCAAATTCACTCGGTAAAATACAAACCTCTTGTGCAATTATAAGTGAGAAATTTTGTACTAATACGGTAGCGAAGTTAAATACCTACTATGCGTATTATAGTATATAGAGTATATAAACAAACGTGTAAAGTTTAAACACGTAAATTAAAGTTTTGGTGACTTGCGAATTAGAAACTATTACGGTAAATACGTACAATAATGGCCGTTTTAAACGCGCGAATTTGAATTGGTTTTTCGCATGTCTGAGATGGCCAGTCGTGGGCAAGTAACCCTGTATAATAGGAACTGGCGGCTACGTAATCTTTTTTACGTTTCGTTAGAAAATTCACCTCTTAAACTAGAACTTTGTCTCAATTTTCTTCCATCCTTTTATAATTCTCTTCCATTTTCCTAGAAATTTGTTTGAGATTTACCGATTCAAAGGAATACTCCGAGGGAGGCGTTAATACGGACCTCGAGCTACGACTAATAAAAACTTAAGGATACGTTAATTAAGCGTTTCCAACAATTAACTTTCCCATAATCTTAATAGAAAGTTCACTTATTTTCATCGAAATGTGAGGTTATCTGGTGGTGGTGCACGAACGTATTTGAGCGAATTTAGGGAGATTAAAACTGTAATAATTTTGAAATTAGTGCCTAATTGTATCTATATGTTTGACTAATAGGTGTTGCGTATGCTATTTCGGTAACATTCGCTGCTCTTTCCCTTTCTTTTAATCAATTGTCCGAAGTTTTGACGGAAAATTTATGACACGAAAAAACGGAAGTCGTTAGTAGATTTTTTAAAACTCGATTGTCGATGCAAATGACTGTGGTGTAGATTCAAATTGCAAATTTGACCCGTTTAATTTACCCCATAAAAACTATACGGGAACGTTTGCGTTTATAGCATTAACCAGCCACCCAAATTAACGTTTTCGATTAAAGGTTAACACAATTTTTATTTAAAAAAATACAAATTTCTGTCGACTTCCTTCCGGATAAGTACATATTGGAAGTTAATCTAATCTTTAATTGCTTTTACTTATCCGAATTAATTAATGAGCGTATCGATTTCAATCTTATATTACGCCTGAGTGTAAATTGGATATTTCATTAGTTAGAATTAAACTGTCTAAGCTAATACGTGTAGATACTTAATCATTCCTCTTCATTTTTTTAAATTCTTGATAGCAACTCGCTCAAAATGCTTCTGATTAAAATAGATAAAATGATCTGATCTGCATAAAAAAGAACAGTGCGATTCTATTTGACTCGAAACTTTGTGACAATCTACTACAGAATAATATACAGTTAGCGTCCGTCTGTGCGTCTGAAGCGGTAACTCAAAAGTACACAGACAATTTCCATTAAACTTGGTATACGGACTAATAACAAAATGAGGCTAATTCCAAAAGAGTTTGAGTGTACTAGTTAAAGCAAAATAGAGCTGTTATCTCCATTTTTGTAATTAAGCTATTAATAAACAAATACAATTATCGCATTGTGGTTACTAATCAACATTCAGATAAATCAAAGGCACCTTTACATTATTTCTTAGTAGTCAGTGGTGGCATACACATTTCATTGAAAAGGGAAAATGTAACAAATCTCGATTTTATGGAGAACTGCGGAGGGAAGAAGTTTGAGGAGTTTTTGGAGTGCGCGATTCCGCCAGGTGATCGGCTGGTCAGGTATTCTTTAAATCCGTGCGCAAATTGCGGTCCAGAGATTGGACTGGTGACTGCTAACGCGGAGATAATTACACAGCGCATCAACGGAAAGGAAACTTTGGCGACAGTGAGTGTAATGGTTAAGGCTTGCACGAAATGTGACAACTTTCGTCAGCTGTTTCCGAATGTCCTGGAAGTCGAAATTTCATTTTACAAATACATCCTACCAGCGTTAAAGCAATTTGTTGTAGATCAAGGCGGATGCAAAGTTCTGGATTTTTTCCCAAAGTTCCACGGCGTTTTCAGCAGTTCCCAATCGGACGCATACGACGAAGATGCTATTCTGTTGATAGAAAACGTCGAAGAACCAGGTCAACAAGTAACATACCTGCAGTGTCCGGGTTACAATTTTGAAACCACTAATAATATTCTGCGAGATCTGGCCATATTTCACGCCGTGCCGATCGCGTTCAAATCCGTGAATGCCGACAAATTCATCGGCCAAGTCATACCACATTTACAATACCGGAGGACTTACCAAGATATGTCGGAAAAGTTGGAGAGTGAACTGCTGGATATTGCGATAAAAGCCGCACGACTTAGTGCAGAAGGTGAAGAGCTGTTGCCCAGAGTTGTAAAAGCCATCGGAGATAATTTGCTTAATTTCTCCACGAAGGATTTACAAATGGAAAGTGAACAGTTTTTGACGATCATTCATAACAATTTATATCTAGATAACGTGGTGGCTAAATTTGAAAACGACATTCATGTTGAAAACAAATTTGTCGGTCTCAACATGCTCGAGTATGGATCGTTAGCTAGAGATTTGGTTTTTGTGCTACTAATGAGCGTAAATATGGAGGTCTTGAAAGAGTCGTATTGGGAGTTTATTAGAGGATACTACAACACATTTATTAGTGTCCTTATGGAACTAAATTGCGATACGCACCAGTACACCTTAGAACTACTCCAGGAAGAAATCAGACGGATGGGAGGTACAATGGAATTTCTTCATGTAATGTTGACGACAAGCCAATTATATGGGCAACAGAAGGACGCTCAGCCGATTGAGGATGATACAGAAGTCGATCTTCTCTCCGAAGTTGAACAGTATGAACGCTGCTTACAGAGGATGCACGAAATTATACTATTTTTTGGAAGAGCGTCTTGGATATAAATTTATATCTTGTTTTTCGATGCATTGTAATTTTCGAAAGGACACCCCACTGAATTGAAAGTTTGTTACATAACCTTACAAAGGAAATGTGTTTGTTATGGCTACGAGAAAGACTAATGCACATATTTTTTTAGTTGACGCAAATGGCTCTCGTTATTTAAGTATTTTTTGAACTAAGGTATAAGTTGTTTCAGAACACACACTGGGAATTATTTAATTAAATTAACTAACATAAGAATAAATAGGATATTAATTTGTAAAATTAAAATAAAATTGTTTTGAAACCAAACGGAGATGTAGGTATGTCGCGATTTTGATTTCCACAAGCGCCAAGTTTTGAAAAAACATAGCTGTAAAATTGCCTTTTCTTCAAAACAACTCAAAAACTATTCATTATACGCAACATTTTGTGGACTACAAACAACATTGTAGGTTCTTATGTTTCAAAAAGTGTTAGTTTCTTCTGTAGCATAAAAATGAAATAAGAGTGAATAAGATACAGGGCCGGCTTAAGGCAAAAGTTACTATAACCAAGCACTAAAATTTGCGCCGTCGCGCTGTACCCTAAATAAGTGGAACTTTTGGCAAGCCGGTTTTAAAAATACAGAGGCGCATATTATTTAAAACATTTATTACTAGCAGACCCGGAAAACTTCGTAGCGATTAGACAACGTCCCGCTCACATATTCGTAAATATCAGACGCGTCTTGCCTTCGCAAAACTCCGCAGCATTTTTGTACAACTTTGCTTTTCAAAAAAATTTGAGAAGACAATCTTAAACCTACAAATAACCAATTTCGCTAAATTGGGATACGCATTTTTGTGAAAAAAAAACTGTTCATGTAAAGAATCGAACCCGGGCCTCTCGGTGTCAAGCGGAGTATACCACTATACCATTATGGCACACATTCAATCGTTATTAAACTGTAGTGCTTGTTCACAATGGACATAAGCATAACAAAAACATAACAGATACATAATTCATAATGTTGAATAGTAGCAAACCAACGTATGTGTTCACAATGATTACATAATTTTTATTTTTTTGTAAATGTTTGCGTATGTTTTATGTCCTACCGAAACGGTACATAAAAAATACATAAAGTTGGGTCGGTTTCAACTTTACGTAGGTTTTATGAAAAATCTAGTGGAATTAGGTGTATTTCTGTTGGGTACAAAGACGCAGCTGTTGGTTTGACATTTCAGTTACTACGTCTAACGTCGATGACATCTCTTCTGCCAGCATAATCTGGTTATTTTTAAATTGGTACATAGTTTTTGGCGCATTATTTCATAGTTTGGTGTGGTTTGGTCCTTCGTGTGTTGTTTTTTGATTATATCCAACACGACATGGAAAACGTATAGACGTCGAATTATGAATTAGTTTGGTGCGATTAAAACCCTAATTGTTTAATAAAGGGGACAAAAGATATAAGGTTAATAGGTGATCGAATAATCCTGGTGTATGAAAAAAACCATATTCTTCATCATGCAGCTTCATTTCTAGACAAGCTTAAATTCTCCCCTTTTCTCTCGGTCTCGATTTATAGGTCTGACCCACCAACGCCGTTTTTGTTTTGTAACAACTTTGTCTCTGTGTCTTCATAACAGTAAAAGCAATAAAAATGTTGAAATTTCCATCTCAGTGGCACACACATATACACCACAAATAATATTGTTATGTTCTTGACGTTTTGATTTGCGCCTACGCAGATAATTATGATCTTACGGTCACTGTGAACACTTTCTCCACCTGCGTAAAATTATGTCTTATGTCAATATTATGTTTTATGTATCTGTTATGTTTTTGTAACGCTTATGTCCATTGTGAACAAGCACTTATGGAAACTGATTATGTTTATTTGCATTTCTTCCATAGAATGAGTTCGCATTCCGAAATAGTTGAGGGGAAGGGTCATTTTTCGCATGCATGCGGACGCGTGTCCCGTTTAGAAATATGGGCCCCGCTTCCGGATTCTGGAGTTGATCAAAACGATTTTTTATGGACGTCGTGGTTGTGTCTACCGTATGAAAAAAAGGTTGCTTTTGATTCTTTTTGATTTTTGATTTTTAGTGCACTTTCACTTTCAAAAAATAAAAAGTGAACTTTTGCGGTCTTGATGTCTGTCTGTCTGAGCCACAAAGGGTCCGGAACTACACCATTTACAGACTAACTTGGTATTGGTGTCATTCGATCAGAAATTAAAAATTATTTCATGTTTGAATCCTCGTTAAGGCATGAAATGTCTATAAAGGCTATTAAAATCAATAAACAAATCTTGCTCACAAGCTGCTTAACGAATTTTAAAAAAATGTATCTTACATCGTGGTAATGTAATAAAAAAATGTGCTATTGTTTGGATTTTGTTCGTCCGTTTGTCCGTCTGTCCGGCCCACTTCTGCGGTGTTGAACTACTTGAACTCTCCAGTGCGACTCCTTTTCAAGATCAGTAGATGACAGGGAGGTAAAAACTAATTTTATCTTTCATGATATTGTAATTAAAGGTCCCAACAAAAGGAACTGTTTTCTACCAACTTACGACCTTTTTTCTGGCCCCTTATAAAAAGAGGGCATTAGGAGAGATGGAATTGCTTTATTCTTCTTGGTACACTAATGAAAGGTCTCAACGACAAGAATTAATTTTTACCAACCAGACTCCGCCTCCTCGGTCCCTTATCGTGATCGGACGTAAGTCCTTATATCTCAAGAACAGATTGTCGGAAGAGGTTACTCACAAAGAGCTATTGGATCATCTGGAAGAAATATATCCATTGGTGATGTGAAAACTTTTAGAGCGAATATCTCGAAAACGGTTTGTCGGAGGAACGTACTCTCATAGTCAAAATGAATCGCCTGGACAAAGTGAAGTCGAAGTGAATATTTTGAAAACGAAGTGTTATTATAATACTGACAAAACTATACCTTCAACTAATCAAATCGGGCGAACTGCCCGAATAAAAATAACGTAGAGAAATGCACACACTTTCCAACCCTCGCGAACCAGCCTCGTTTTTTCGTCGATTACAGTATTTAACGAAACACCACTTCCACTATAAAAAAATTTCCTGACATGACTTTTAAAATAAAGCTGCCAATCACAAGTAGACTTGATAACGCCAGCTTCGAAGGAACACGTCCCACTTACGCCGAACTAACGCGTGCATAGTAATCCACATTTCCGTTATCTCTTCTAACAAGAACACGTGCGTTCATTAAATTTCGTCCGATAACATAATTTCTTACTTATCGCAAACGACCAGATGGCCCGTCATTTTAACACGCAATTTTACGTTTTACAATTAAATACCCAAATAAACAATTTACAAAACATAACATAAACAATTTACAAAACATAACATAAACAATTTACAAAACATAACATAAGTGTGAATAAATGTAAAGTTGTATCATTCACTCGAAAAAAGGATCCACTTTTGTTCAACTATAAATTAGCTGCAACGGATTTAGTGAGATGTGAATTAGTAAAGGACCTTGGAATTACATTTGACACAAAATTGTCATTTGAAACCCATATTTCGTCAACTGTAAAAAGTGCCATGAAAGTACTAGGATTCTTGTTTAGAAATTGTTCCACATTTAGAAATGTGGGCGCTCTGAATGCTTTGTACTTCGCTTTTGTGAGGTCAAAGCTAGAATACTGCTCATTAATATGGAATCCGTTTTATAAGAAGCACATAAATATTATAGAACAAGTGCAACGTAAATATTTGAAATTTGTGTGTTTCAAAGTGGACGGTATTTATCCCCCTAGAGGATTTAGTCATGAACACCTCCTTGACCATTTCGCACTGTCATCACTTCAGCATAGGCGCTTCATCGCATCAATTAAATTCCTGTACGATATTCTGCACAACAACATAGACTGTTCCAAACTTCTAAATGAAATTAATTGGCATGTGCCTAGATTGACAACTCGAAGAAGTCATACTTTTTCTCTCCCACAAATAAATAGCAACATCATGTATAGGTCTCCTATGTATGCAATTTGTTATAGTTACAATACTATAAGTTCAATCTGTGACATTACTCACTCATCCTGGAAGGACATCATTCGAACATTGAGTATGTAACGACCACAACTAACTATTAATTAAGAATTTTTGTATGTTTCGAATTACTTTTTTTTTCTTCTCCTAATTTACTTAAACCATCGTACATGTTTATCTTATATTTTTGTATTTTGTATGTAGGTAATTAACTTCATATTGTGATTTGTCCTTTAATTGGATATTCTGTTGGGCAATAAAGCATTATTATTATTATTATTATTATTATTATAAAAAAGCGATAAACTTTCAACAAGAAAATGAGATGCAATTACAAACACTTCTAAACGGAAAAATAACACTGAGACACAAATTCAAGTAAAATAAATCAACGTTGTGCTTATTTGTAAGTAATCCCCCAGTGTTACACTTGATAAATTGTAATATTGTCATATACAGGGTCTGCCGTTATTATTGTTGGTGTTTAGACACAACAATTACCTTAGTAGTTGTTACGCTGGCCTGACCTCTCTCGCTTTTACTAGTCTTCGAAATCAAAATTGGTTTATTCGGTTATTTTATCTGTATATTCCACCTTTATGTAAATTTTCTTGATATCGGTCTTGTTGCAGTGCTTCTGATAGAGTAACCCCATTAATAATAAACGACAAATTGAAAACTGCGAATTCTCTCTTTATTCAGTCACGAATGAAGACATACAAGGTAGACGCAAAGGAGATGGAGCCCATCTTCGACGGTTTGGTAAAGGAAAAAATTGCCGCGGTCGACTCGTCGAAGATTACTGCAATATCGCTCCATTCACATTCATGGAACACTTTTATACTATCAGTATATTAAAGAGATGTTAATTACAAAATCTTAATTATATCAAGGTATTACATAAATAAATTGCAGCCTCTCTGTGATGTGTCTATCCGGAAATTAATAAAGGAAGGAAGCTTCATGCATTAAAAGCAGCTTATTACTTAGGCACTTACAATGTGTAAACTTTGAAGTAGTTTCAAAGAAAATGAGCAGAATCTATTGAATCGTTTTTATACAACGCTTACCACATTTTCGTCTGAAATTTCGAACTGAGAGTTGCTTTGAAGTCTTTGTAGCCTACCAATAGAATAATAACTTGCCCCATTGGACAAAATGATTACCTTTTAGGTGATTTAATTTGAATAGAAATTTGATTCGCAAGGCTTATAAAGTTAAAAATGTGGCGCATCAAGTAAATCCGCGAAATAAATCTCCTTGTGAAGCTTTAATGCCTTAATCTATATATGAG